CTCCTCACTGACCAACCCCCATCCCAACTCCCTCCCTACACTCACCTGTACTGGCTTCATCCCCGCCTCCTTGACCTGTCCATCTTCTCTCCACCTATCTACTCCTCTATCACCTTCTATCATCGCCTCCCCCTCTCTCTCTTTATTTCAGAGCCCCTTCCCCTCACGCATTTCTGAAAAAGGGTCCAGACCTGAAACATCAGCTTTCCTGCTCCTCTGATGCTGCCTGGCCTGCTGTGTTCATCCAGCTCCACACCTTGTTATCTCAGGCTCCAGCATCGGCAGTTCCTACTATCCCTGCCTAATATTGTTGTTATTAGCCTTCCCCCAATTCACACCTGAGGACCAGTCTTAACTTTATCCATAATTACCTTAAAACTTAACAAATTATAATTTGTTCCCAAAAAGCTCCCCTACTGAAACTTCAATCACCTGGCTGGGCTCAATCTGTATTACGGGGTCCAGTATGGCCCATTCCCTTGTTGGATTATTTATATATTGTTTCAAGAAACTCTCTGAGATGCACCTAACAAATTCTGCCCCACTGGCAATAAGGGAAGCCCAATCAATCCTGGGGAAGTTAAAATCACCCACTACAGCAATCATCTTTCCATGATCTGCCAACGTTTTTGTTCCTTTATTTCCCACTGGCTACGGGGAGGCCGATGGTATAACCCAGTGATTGCAGCTTTCTTATTCCTGAGTTCCGCCCATATTGTGTCGCTGGATGAGCCCTCCAGGTGCAGCTGTGACTGTAATGCAACTTTCTACCCTTTTTACATCTTTCTGTATCACACCTGCAACATCTAAATCCTGGATTGTTGAAAGTCCAAAGGCTGCAGTGTAAAATGGTATGTGCGTACTTTTAAACGTGGTTCACGGTGTATGTTCCTGCTTTGCTACTGCCCTAATGGTCTGGACCAATAAGTATGTGTACAGGTGGGGCCTGGACAGGATGTACCTCAGCCCAATAACAGGTGCCCAGGGTTTGAGGGGTCCACTGTGCTCTGGATGGGGTCTGGGACCTGTGATTTCTGGCAGGTGTGAGTTGGACAAGGGCTCTAAATTCAAAAGCTCTGCTTAATGTCTGGACATGTAACCATGTCAAAAGGAATGACAAAAGGTCTTCACAGAGTCAGAAAATTTACAGTCAATGGTGATTGTTTAGCTTAATATGGTTATGCTAGATCTCTGGTACAGCAATCTGTACAGTTTCATGTCCCTTCTCCTAGTGCTCCACGTAATTGTTAAAATGTTTTTATAGATTTCTTTTCATGTTTGTCTTTCAAACTGGTGATGTTCTCAACTATAGTTTGATTGTTAATTGGTTAATGCGATACGAGAGCTTCTGTTTTGAATTTCTTTATTGAGTAGGCCTCTGAGTTCCGAGAGTATGAAAACGGACCCTGTTTCACTGCAGACCTGATCTTTTTTCTGAAGGGAATCTCATTTTGGGAGGTGCAGAGATGTAAAGATGCTGGTGGCGGGAACGTGCTGGAGTAGATAATGAGAAAAGCGGGCTGAGCATTTCCAAATGAGACCCGAGCAATTTGAGAACATTGAAAAGGCAAGAAGCATTAAAATAGATGGCAACACTGTCCAGGCCATTATATCAGGCATGACATAGTGCTCTGAGACATTGGACTAGATTAAAAACCAAGCTACTTTACTGATGGAGGAGGGCATACTCTACAGATTTGAAGATAGAGAGAACTGATATCTACAGGAAACTTGGATGGTCATCTAATAATGTATGGGAACGTAAAGGACCTGTGCCAGAGAGGTTTGATGAGGTTCATTTGCTTGACGTGGTGATGGTGGATATCCAGCAGACATTTGACAAAGTGCTACAGAACAGACTTGACATCAATGTGAAGGGCTTTGGAGTATAAGCTACACTGGCAGCATCAGCACAAAGATGACTGACCGATGGGAAATGGTGGTTCTGAACTCAGTCTTTTGGATAGGAAGTGGAGGTGTGTGGTGGGAGCTCTCCCAGGGGCTGGTTAGGAGCCCTGGTTTTCTCGCCCTGTGTGAATGATTCTGTGCTGGCTGTACATGGCGTAAGATAGTATGACTCCAAATTTTGTGTCACCCGCAAATTTTGGAAGTATTGTTCTCTGTGAGGGTGGTGACATGCTTGAAGAGGATTTAGACAGGCTGCTGAACAGTACTGATAATGTTAATGCACTGAGGCCTGGTGATTTATTTTGGATGGAAGAATGGGGGACACCATAGGGGGCAAAGCTATAAAGTAAATGGAGCAGAAGCTAAAGGAGGTGCAGGAGCAGAGAAGCTTAGATAAATGTCAGCAGAAATCATTGATAATGGGGTGAACTGAGAGTGCACTTTTTGAAATCGAGGGATCTGGAAGGAAACTGTTTCCATTGCAGAGAGGTCACGTAACAGAGAACACTGATTTACGATGGTTACCAAAAAAATCAATGTAACATCACTAGAGAAGTTATATCAACACTAGAGAAGTAGTACTAGACAAACTAATGGAGCTAAAAGCAGACAAGTCCCCTGGCCCTGATGGCTTGCATCCTAAAAGAGATGGCTACAGAGATAGTGGATGCATTGATCGTAATTTGCCAAACACCCTTGGATTCTGCAAAGATACCAGAGGATTGGAAAGCTGCCAATGTGACTCCACCCCCACTATTCAGTAGGGAGGGAGGCAAAAAGTGGGTAACTATAGGCCAATTAGCCTAACATCTATTGTTGTAAAACAGTTATTAGAATCGATTATTGAGGAAGTCATAGCAGAGCATTTGGAAAATCCATAATCTAATCAAGCAGAGTCAGCGTGGCTTCATGAAAGGGAAATTGTGTCTGACTCATTTATTAGAAATTTTCAAGGAAGTCTCAACTGGAGTGGATAGAAGGGAACCAGTAGATATGTTGTATTTAGACTTCCAGAAAGCATTTGACAAGGTACCTCAAAGGTTAAGTCATAAGAGCCCATGGTGTATTGCCATGGATAGAGAATTGGTTAATGGGCAGAAAATAGTCAGTGGGGTAAAAGGGACTCTTTTTTTTTCAGGTTGGTGATCTGTGACCAGCGGAGTTCCATAGGGATCTGTGCTGTTTACAATATATATTAATGACCTGGAGGAAGGAAACAAATATATCGTAGTCAAATTTACAGATGACAGAAAAATCGGTGGAAAGACCGAATGTAAGAGGGATACAAGCATTTTACAGAGAGTGTTTGATAGATTAAGTGGGCAAAAAGTTGGCAAATGGAATATGATGTGGGAAAATGTGACATTCATTTTGAAAGGGAGAACAAAAGAACAGAAAATTATTTAAGTGGAGAAAAGCTGCAGGAAGCTACAACACAAAGGGATTTGGGGGAACTTGAGCCTGAAACACAAAGCTAGCATGCAGGTGCAGCAGGTAATCAGAAGGCTAATGGAATGTTCACCCTTATTTCAAAGGGGGTTGGAGTATAAGAATGGGGAAGTCTTACTGCAACTGTAAAAGCTGCTGGTGAGAATGCATCTGGAGTACTGTGAGCAGTTTTGGTGCCTTCATTTCAGGAAAGATACTATTTCATTCGAGGCAGTTTGGAGAGGATTGACTAGGATGATCCCTGGTATGGAGGGATTGTCACATGAGCAAAGTTTGAGACTCGGAGTTTAGCAGAATGTGAGGTGATCTCATTGAAATGTAGGATTCTGAAGGAGCTTGACAGGGTAAATGCTGAGAGGATCATAGAATCCGTACTGTGTGGAAGTAGGCCATTCGGCCCATCAAATCTACACCGAGCCTCAGAGCATCCCACCCAGATCCACTCCCTAGCCTATCCTATCCTGCATTTCCCAACCTAGACACAATGGGCAATTTGGCACGGTCAGTCCACCTAACCTGCATATCTTTTGGATTGTGAGAGGAAACTCACGCTGACGTGGGGAGAATATGCAAACTCCACACAGACAGTTGCTTGAGGCTGGAATCAAACCTAGGTCCCTGGCACTGTGAGGCAGCAGTGCTAACCACTGAGCCACTGTGCCAGCCATCTCCCTTTTGGGAGAGTCTAGGACCAGAGGGCATCATCGCAGAATTAAGGGGTGCCAATTTAAGATAGATGAGGAGGAATTTCTTCTGAGGACTGTGAGTCTTTGTAACTCCCTGCTGTAGAGAGCTGTGGGGACAGAGTCCTTGTGTATATTTAAGGCTGATACAGATTCTCGGGTAAGTGAGGGTTATGGGGAAAAGGCAGCAATGTGTATACGAGGAATGTCAGATCAGCCGTGATCCTATTGAATGGCGAAGCAGGCTCGAGGAGCCAAACAACCTACTCCCATTTCTATGTCTAATGGTCTTAATATGAAGAAAAGTTGTTTTTAAATGTAGCGTGTGGTTAGATTCTGGAATGTCAGGGAGCCAGTTTCAATTGAGCTTTCATAAGATTTTTGTCCAAAGTGGAAACATTTGCAGAGCTACAGAAAAAAGGTGAAAATGTGGGAGTAGCTGAGTTGTTCATCTTAGCACAGATGTAGTGGGCTAATGACCTCCTTTTGAGCTGTAAACTTTCTCTGAGGTCACAGATCCCTAGAATCAAAGGCCTTGGTTATGAAGAAAGATTGAAAGAGCGTGAGACATCTTGCCTCGATATGCGGTGCTTGAAGTTATTTTGCAGAGACCCATAAGAAGGTTGAGAAAGTCGAGAGGGTTACTCCAGATTATTACTTTGTTCTGCTGTCACTGCGTGATTCAAAATGGCACAAGACCAGTCTAATAAAATGCAAATCAGATGGGCACTAGGAGGATTTTCTGCTCGAGTTAGCAATATACAGGATGGATGCACTTCCAGGAAAAGCAGTGAAGGTGAAAAACTCTGGAATCAATAAACAAGCAATTGGAGTCTGGTGATTTCACGATCTCTCTGGATGGATGTGTGAGTGAATTGGGATGGGCTGAATGGCCTCCTTTATCTGTACCTAACCTACAATCTAAACGCACTGACCCCTACTGCACTATTCCTTTCCCAGGTTTTCTGCGTGACTCTCTGGGAACATACAATCTTGCCTTCTACCTTGCTGGTGTGCCGCCAATGGTTGGAGGAGCAGTCCTCTGCATCATCCCGTGGATCCAGTACAAGAAACACAAAAACCAAAAAAAGCAAAAGGCATTGGAGGGAGAAACGGCAACAAAGATACTGGATCAGGATTCGAAGAACATTCTAGTGCCTGGCAGTGGTGAGCCACAGAAAGAACGTGTATCCAGTATTTAATACAAATTCCACTGAACAGACTGATGGCAATTCAGGTCTTACAAATGAATTTTTTTTAAATCAGTGAATGTTTTGTTTTGTTGTCGCAATGAACTACAGCAGTTGTGAAGAATTCCCAAAGGGGAGAAACAGAGAAAATTAAACCATAGAAGTGAATTTGGAGTCTACCAGAGAAGATTCTTTTTCTCCTTGTGCTGCATTTCATGTATGTTAAAGCATTTGTTATACTAGTTTATTTTAGATCATCTTTCTGAAGTTGGAATAATCCAAGTTTAATTTCCTGTAACGCCACAGCTGATCCAGCTAGGCATTTAGCTTCTTTCAGAAATACCAAGGAAAGACCAAAAAATAGTAGCAACACAAATAATTTTCACTTGACCATTGGAATATTTCAAGTTACCCCTCTCCACTGCATGTACACAATCTCCTTACAAAGAGCTAATCTTACCTGGAGGCGTTTTCTAAGCTTTCCAAATGAACATAAATTGCCCTAATGTCACACTTTTTTTATAAAGATCTCCAAATTTAGAATGCTAATTCTGACTGTACACGTTAGAAATATACAGAGCCTCAAATTGTTTCCCTCTGATGCTCTAGGATGACCAAAAATTCTTGATTTTGCTCTGTTATCTACGACAAATCTATGATCCTCAAAAGATTAGATGCTAAACCTACCCTGCCCCAGCCACAAATAAAACAAAGTGCTGGAGAAACTCAGCAGGTCCGCCTATTCCAAAGAAAAGTCACATTGTTAACTCCGCTTTTGTCTCCACAGATGTGCCCAGACTTGCTGAGCTTCTCCAGCATTCTGCGTTTGTTTCAGATTTCCAGTGTCTTCTGTATTTTACTTGTATTGGACTGTCTTGGCCACGATGGTTTGTGTATCTATTACAGGCGATGCATCCGTGTCACCTAAAGAGGGAGATGTTCGAAAGCTCTATGAAAGAGGCAGGTTACAAAAGAGGAAAGCAAAGTGGGGAGGTTCAGTGAGAGAATTCCAGAGCTGAAAATGCAGCTACAAATCATGGAACAAGCAAAACTGATTACACTTGAGAAGCCAGAACTGTAGGGTGCAGATATCTTATGGAATATTTTGTGTTTTACAGGATAGAAACCATCAAGGTACACAGGCCTGCATTAGGCAAATATTGCATGTTCTATAGCTTGATGTTTCAGATAATATAAAATTTACTTGCTGTCTATCCAGTTCACTGCCAGTTATCTTGATTAGATGGTATTTTTATTTTGGCTTGTGTGCAGCTTTGTATTGTAGTGTGGAAATAAGCCTTCTCTGTATAGTGGGCAATGAGAACACGGGAAGTTTATTCGAGAATGCGAGGTTTGGTGGTGACAGTTCTGTTCCGAGAAACCAGCATCATGCTGGGCACTATCGTGTTTCTGACTGGGACACTGGAGCCCCAAATGGAGCAGAACCTGCAGATCATCCACCACTGCTTTGCAGCACCTAGAGCTGTATCTAATGAACGTGTTCTGTAATGAGACTACAGAAGCAATCTGTCTAATTAAAATGAGGTTTTGCAAACAGCGGGCAGAATCTTATTGATGCCTGAGCAACACGACCCATGGTGAGATTTATGATAGAATCCCGTGGAAAATCTATCGAGGCCCGTCTTAATGTCATTATCTACTCACGGCATTATTTATGCTTTTGTCAAATTTCTAGCTAGGTGGTGGTGAGGTGCCAATTAAGGGGGATTATTACTTGTTAAACACACATTTATGGTCCAATCTGCCTCATTTAATGTGGTTGGCTCTTAACTGCCCTCTGGGCAATTAGGGATGGCCAATAAATGCTGGCCTAGCCAGAGACGGCCACATCTCGTGAGTGAATAAAAATGTTAATATTCTGCTCCCTGTCTTACCAAATACGCCAGCCATGCTAGACACAGAATTCTCGACATGGAGTTAAGAGCGAGGACTTAATGGACTTCAGCTGTTGCTAAGCATTGAACAGCATCTCGGTCACATTCCATGGGTACCAGTCGCACATTCCCCTCATCCACAAAAAGTCTGCATCCAACATTTGCCACCAGTTTACAACCACCATGGCACCTCTGATACAGTTGCAGGATTATTATGAAGCACATACCTGCATTGTGGAGGGCCCTGGTATCTTGCACTGAAAGGCTCCTGCAAGGACGCTTTGTGCACAGAGTCAAACACCCAGCTGACAGATTGGACCAGCCTGCATCTCGGGGCTTCTCACCTTCCCTCCTGGCGCTCGCTTACTTTGCCCCTAACTACATGCTGACCCCTTCCATGCCTTGCCTTGCTGTGTCAAAGAGTGCAGTCACAGTAGCAGGCAGCTTGCCTTACTGGTCAGTAACCCTCCCTCAAGGAGGTCTACATATTGCCGTACGACACTGTGCCGCGTCACACTCTCACCTTCGCCATGTGTCAGTGAAAGACAGCCCCTGAGACCAGTCCTGGGGATTAGCCACAGACAAGGTGTCTGGTCGGGGGCGGGGGGTCCCTGCCTCCAGGTCTC